AGGGTTTTCTATGATTTCCTATGACAACATGTTACCACAATCTACTGGGTTCTACTATTAAGAATGATAGACTATAAGAAATACGTCCCAAGTCGCGAAGGCCCAAGAAGTAGAGAGAGCTGTGGAGCCTGGGAGCTAAGGGATCAAGCGCCTGCATAAGGCCTAGCCCAGGCCCCACACGTAGCCCAAGCCGGCAATACAGATGGGGTAGTTGTCAAACTTATGGTCCCTTTTGGGTACCCTAAATAATTGGTGCCGTATTATATTAAGGACCCAAAAAGGGACCATAATTTCGACAACCACCCATGTACTTGGAGGTTCATGTGTAGTTGTAAGTGGAGTTATTAGTAAGCTAACTATTAATTATAACCCATATCAGGGGACGTATAACCCTACTTATAACTACCCATGAACCGGTAACCTTCGAGAATAAACTTCAAACCTTGCTTCGAATCCGGCTCCTGATCCTGCTGTCGACAAGCATAGGATAAATTGGTGTGGCGAGAGAGCTCAGATTTGGTGCCTTTGCGGCGACGACGATCGCCGATTGACCTTTGGGCGTGATGCGAAGGCTGGGTCACGCTGCGCCCCTAAACCCTAAGCCCTTATCAACCCTAAGCCCTTCTGAACCCCTAACCAGTCATAAACCCCTATAAACCTAAACCCTTGTAAGCCCTAAACCCTTATACACCCTAAACCCTTGTGAACCCTAAACCTTGTAAACCCTAAACTAAACCCTAAACCCAGGAGAGCCCCAAGCCCCTAAGAGATCCATGGGGTTCGGTAATCGGGGCCCCTTTAAAGGGTACTATCGGCTCCTATAATAGGGTCATGATAAACCCTAAACCCTGAACCCTGAACCCTAAACCCAAGGCCCTAAACCGAACCCTTTCTGAGGAGGTCCCGGTCTGTCTCGGTCTTGCGGTTTAGGGTTTAGGGTTTAGGGGATCAAGGCCTTACAGCCCCGCATGAAAGGCTGTTTATGAACAGAGTGCTTGATGCTAGTATGGAGGGAGGCTTTTCGCTTTCGGGTTTAGGCTTTAGGGTGTAAAGTTTACTGTCCTGTAAGGTTCATTCTCCTAACTTAGAGGCCGGATTTATTACCACGACTATTCTTCAGGGTTCTTGGTGCATGTCTAGATTAATGCAATTTACCCCCAAGCCCTCTTCGAGTTGTTGAGGCCCTATATAATATTATGCAGCTGCTGACTAGCATACCCTGGACCATTCGAACTGATTTCGCTGGGCGTGAATTCAACATACTATGTTCTCTCTCTCTCTCTCTCTCTGTATGTGTATGTATATATTTATATGCACGTAACATACTAGTATAGTAACAGTAACGAGCAGCAACAGCAACACCAACACCAAAGAACATTGTATTAGCACAGAGTGAAAAAGAAAACTGATATGAATAACAATAAATAAGTGTTCGCAGCAAGTGATCATTCTATTATAATAACCATAATAATGGGAACAACCAACGTTTCGGAGTGTTTTCTTACTCGTTTTGCCAACTGGCAATGTTAGCTCTTACATTAACTGTAATAATAGTCATTATTATGCTTATCGCTGTTATTATTATGATCACTGTCACTATCACTATCAGCAGTATGAACGTTAATGATAATTTTCACATAACACCAACATTAACACCCATCTGAATATAATGATAACAACAAGACATGGTATATATATATATANNACACACATGTATATAAGATTGTACTGTCTTATGCTATGCGTGCCACTTATGTGCTCCAAACTTCGAGCTGTTTCTGCGAGGCTCCGCGCTCCGTCGCATTGAACCTGTCCGATGCGGCAGTTTCTGAAACAGGCCTTGGGCTGGTGTAAGGGGCGTGGGGATTATAGGGTTTGAGGTTAGGGTTTGTTTTTTTTTTTT